GGGTATGTATGAACAGTTCGAGAAGAAAAATACGTCCAACAGAATAAAACTAGCTATTCGATAGGGTAGAAGTGAAAGTGGAGATGAAAATGACAAGCACGAGAGAGGGAGGCACAGCCTTGATTGAATTGTGGAACAAAATTCACAAGAATAGAAGGAAATTTGGACGAGTACCGGGAATCACAAAATGAAGCGGAAATCGCATACCCAACAAACGTGAAGATCGAAAATCAAATTGGAAACCAGTTTAGCGACGGCACGTGGAAAAGATAAGAACATTCCCAGCGAACACGATGATGCGGAGCAACAATGCTCAATCAGATTCATCGGCAAAGATAGTCGACGATAGCGTGGATCGACAACTCAAATGGGGGCAGAAAAAGTTCAATGGTCCGTAAAGGAAACGATGCACAACTACAATCAATCGATCGTTTGGGCCAACAGTTGTTAAGGTACAACGGTACGTGGTACCAAAGTACGCTCAACGATCGTTTGGCATGAAGATTCGTAGAAAAGCACTCAAGATGGACACAATCAAAAGTACTCAAGAAAAGACAGCCGACGAGACGCGAAAGCAACAGCGATCAAACACGCAAAACATACGCGGGGAAACACCGAAGCGGACACTATGATGCAGAGAGGTGGCCGACTTCAGGGCAAACAAACGAACAAAGGAAGGCAGATAAACGGGAACACCATTCGGTGTCATAGCCGTCGTCGGAGGCGGCGTCATCGGAGTCGGCATAGTCGGAGCCGGAATCATCGTTGCCGTTGCCGCGGTTGTCGGCATCGTCGTTGTCGGCATCGTCAGTGCCGTCGTTGTCTTCGTTGTCGTCCCCTTCGTCGCCGGGGGCAAAGTCGGGGTCCTGTTCGTCGTCGGGGTATTCGTCGTTGGTTTCTTCTTCGGGTTCTTCTCCAGAAAAGTCGGCGCGGGAACGGGATGGGGATCGGACCCTTTGCGGTTTCATGCTTTCGTCGCGCGCCTGAGGGAGCCTTTCGTTTTTCTTTAGTGCCGGGGCAGTTGGAAGAAGCGCCGGCGCCGGCAGTAGGGCGAGAGGCGAGATCAATCGCTTCTAGGGTGGGCGTCTTGGATAGGCGTTCGATGATGGTGACGTCGTTGGAGAGGGCGACGATGTGGTAGCCCCAACAGTTCTGGTGCCCCCATTTCTTCTTCTCGACAGCGGCGATGAAGGTGATGCCGAGGATGTAGCTGGCGCGGACGTTCTTGGTCATGGTCGTCGAGATCGATGAGTTCCTCACCGTCACAAAAATGCTCCTCGTCAACTGCCTGAGGATAGGGCAAGGAAGACGAGAGATACGAATTATTGGAAAGTTGCAGAGGGTCAAAAATGACCAACAGGTCGTGTCAAGCAAATCGTACTGGTGTGTATGAGTGAGAATGATCGCACAGGCGGCAGAACGTACGGTTAAAAGTACACGGCACCATGAATGCCAAAAGATGTGATGCAAGTACCCGTTCGGTACACCTCGCGTCGCGTTGTGCAAGAACAGGGCGGCGAAGTATATGGAAGGAGTGGAAGAGCAGACGCGATGGAGGGAGTAGAAGTACATGGCGATGTTTAGCTGTTACCTAGTGTGGAACAGGGAGCAAGTTAAATGTCAATGGAAACGAACTTATTACGGCGTCGAAAATACGGGCCCAAAAAGAAAACATTCCTCCGTTCCGATGAAAATAGCGGATGGCAATTGTATCCCGTCCTTCGTGTGCGGTCCGCAATCGACGGCCATGTGCGGTTGGATGGCGGTGAATGGTTTCGGGATCATGTCGTAATCGCGATGGAGACAAGGCGTGATCTTGTTGGTGCAAGCTATGGGAAGCTCGGCACAAGGATTGCGGGTGGAATTGCACTCCGGCGTGCCCAAGCCGCCACTCATGCGAACGACCGGACCGGAAGCCGAGAAATGCACCATGAGCGGGTATACGTTCGCCGGCGCTTGTTGTGCCGACATGACGTCGAAGGACAAAACCTTGCAAGGGTTCAGCATGTTCTGGTAGATCGTGGGCGAGAGAACGATAGAGGTGGCAGGCGGTGGAGGTGGGGAGAAGGAAAAGGCCGAGGTTGCAGCGGGTGGGTGAAAAACACTCGTTCTGCAACACTGCTGTCACGACAACGCTGCACCCTACGGGGGGCAAGACCCTTACATCAGCGGTAGATGGGAATGTTCCGGCAGACACTCCCATGACTTTCAGGGCCTACGGCAAGACGCACGGGCACACCGACGATCCGTTTTCAACTCGTTCTGCTTTTCCTGTCCTCAGTGTCAGCAATGCTGTGTTCTGCGACGGCATCCGGTGTTCCTGTAGCCGAGCACGAGCCATCGCCTGGCAACGCACCCCTCACGTCGACAGCATAAGCGCGAGGGTTGGGTTCCGCTCCAACAACACCGCCGATAAGAAAAAAACAGTCATTTACCAGGTGTGGATTCAAACCGCCCGAACACGGACGGTGTTGTTCCCCAGATCCGGCCGTGCTCCTGTCACCTCATGACGCCGCGACAGTAGTGTACACAGACCCATGATTCTCAACATTGTCAACGAGAGCCAAGGCCACGTTAGCAAGGACCACCGGGAGCAACCGCCAGATGTTGTGCCCGGGATTTTGTACCTCCGCCCCCAAGTCCAGATGTTGTGCCCGGGATTTTGTACCTCCCCCCCCCCAACAAGCCGTCCCCCTCGGTGTTTGCCATCGGGGTTGGGTTTTCGTCGCTTGGCAACGACGTTGTAAAACAAGCCGCCCCCCCCGGTGTTTGCCATCGGGGTTGGGTTTTCGTCGCTTGGCAACGACGTTGTAAAACAAGCCGCCCCCCCCGGTGTTTGCCATCGGGGTTGGGTTTTCGTCGCTTGGCAACGACGTTGTAAAACAAGCCGCCCCCCCCGGTGTTTGCCATCGGGGTTGGGTTTTCGTCGCTTGGCAACGACGTTGTAAAACAAGCCGCCCCCCCCGGTGTTTGCCATCGGGGTTGGGTTTTCGTCGCTTGGCAACGACGTTGTAAAACAAGCCGCCCCCCCCGGTGTTTGCCATCGGGGTTGGGTTTTCGTCGCTTGGCAACGACGTTGTAAAACAAGCCGCCCCCCCCGGTGTTTGCCATCGGGGTTGGGTTTTCGTCGCTTGGCAACGACGTTGTAAAACAAGCCGCCCCCCCCGGTGTTTGCCATCGGGGTTGGGTTTTCGTCGCTTGGCAACGACGTTGTAAAACAAGCCGCCCCCCCCGGTGTTTGCCATCGGGGTTGGGTTTTCGTCGCTTGGCAACGACGTTGTAAAACAAGCCGCCCCCCCCGGTGTTTGCCATCGGGGTTGGGTTTTCGTCGCTTGGCAACGACGTTGTAAAACAAGCCGCCCCCCCCGGTGTTTGCCATCGGGGTTGGGTTTTCGTCGCTTGGCAACGACGTTGTAAAACAAGCCGCCCCCCCCGGTGTTTGCCATCGGGGTTGGGTTTTCGTCGCTTGGCAACGACGTTGTAAAACAAGCCGCCCCCCCCGGTGTTTGCCATCGGGGTTGGGTTTTCGTCGCTTGGCAACGACGTTGTAAAACAAGCCGCCCCCCCCGGTGTTTGCCATCGGGGTTGGGTTTTCGTCGCTTGGCAACGACGTTGTAAAACAAGCCGCCCCCCCCGGTGTTTGCCATCGGGGTTGGGTTTTCGTCGCTTGGCAACGACGTTGTAAAACAAGCCGCCCCCCCCGGTGTTTGCCATCGGGGTTGGGTTTTCGTCGCTTGGCAACGACGTTGTAAAACAAGCCGCCCCCCCCGGTGTTTGCCCATCGGGGTTGGGTTTTCGTCGCTTGGCAACGATGTTGTAAAACAAGCCGTTTACTGCGTGAACTCGGCAACCAGGTTACCGGGGTTTTTTTATCCCTGATCTTTTTTTGGCGGTAGCGATAATGGTGGTCGAGTTGATCATGTTGTGCGGGGTCGAGAACCCTCACTNTGTACCTCTGATCTTTTTTTGGCCGTAGCCATAATGGTGGTCGAGTTGATCATGTTGTGCGGGGTCGAAAACCCTCACTCCGCGCAAGGGGGATGATCGCACCACGTTGTGTTAAAATGGTCAAGCACCCTCGAGGCAGTTACACAGTGCTTACAACTGTCTCTGGAAGTGAAAGCACCAGAAAATAAATTAAGTCATACGCAGCTGTCATCCGTACGCAAGGAAGTAAGCACAAGATGCCGAACACCCTTAGCAGGATGCAGCGCACCCTTCATGCGACTCGCCGAATATCTCACGGCGCTTCGCGCTTGGTGATGTGAGAGCCTGGTCCGGTGAGAACCCGGCGTGCTCCGTCCCGGCTTTGTAGGGATGCGAGGTCAATGGTCTAACGACTATGGCATGCACGACTATGAGTACACCCTCCACCCCCCAATCAAAAAACAACATGCTCGGGACTCTAAATCTATATATGGTATGGGCGTATGTACAAGATTTGGTCATTTTTTGTGCATTTGCATTTCTTTCTCTGCCGGCTGCGAGTCTTTTGTCGGGTTTCTTTTTCAGGGGCATGCACGAGGCTCGTCGGCACCTTATCGTTCATACCCGGAGCTCGCTAGGCCTCTGTGGCGCGTATGTTTGACGGTCAAAGTCGCGAAAACTGGCTCTATACCCCGGGGACGTTTTCCGCGACGACGACGCCTGGTGGGACAACACTTGAACCAATCTCAACGATTGAAGGGAAAAATGGCCCGCATGCATACATTTCGACCACATCTCTCGCTACCACTGATCGACATCCGGCAAAACCTGATCACAGAGCATACTCCGGAG